CACAGACACGCAACCCACGTCCCCCAGTTTCCTGTGTTTTGGTCACCTCCACTGCATGGCCTCACACCTCAGTGCAGGGCTTGCCCATTTCCCTCCTAACATTCTCTCTCCACAAGAGCCCATTCCTTCCTAAACTTACACTGACCTGTGAAGTCTCCTAAATCTACCAAGTGCTTCACTCCTCCTAGAGAATAGATTCTCCCTTTGGTTGCCAATCCCCACTTGCATGAGCTAGGATTACATTCAGCTTTGAGTAAAAGGAAATCCAACACAAGGCACACACAGCAGTTGGCTTCTCTCCCTGTGAAGGCCATCTCCAGTGGCAGCCAGTCCAGGGACCTTGGCAGGCCGCCCTCCAGATGGCCTCGTGCCCAGCAGCCCTGCTGCCCACAGGTTGCTCACCAGCCATCTCTAAACCTCAAGCCGGCCTCCCTATGCTGCTGTGGGACACTGGGTCTGGAACTCTGCACTGTTTCCCAGGCTCCTCACCCAGCTGGCCTCCTACTGAGTTCTGCCACTGGGAGGTGGCAGATGGAAGGGGAAGCAGGAAGAAGGGACTTCTTTTTTCCCAAGGCCAGCAGCAGCAACGGGCACCAGATGGCTCCCGCTTCCAGCACTCCCAGCAGCACAGGGCCTGCCGGGCAGACAAAGAAAGCGCCAGCTCACCCGGGCTGCCCCCCCGGGAGCTGTGGCTCTCCCGCAAGTCCAAGTAAGTGCCACTTTCCACTGTCTCACGGGGCTCAGCACAAACCAGAGGATCCTCCAAGCTCCAGGGTTCTGAAAGTATAACCCCTCTTCCTCTGGTCACTCTGGGAGGCATGTGTTTACCTATGCTGAATTTCTGGCCTATCACAGGGCCCCCTTCTGCTCTGAGCCTCCCCACACCCCCACAGCCAGCTCCCTATGTCTAGCGCCCTCTGTCTGAAATACCTGGTGTGGCACTTTGTCCACGCTGGATCCCAAATCATGCAACCTGTCTTCTCAGCCAGACTTTGCACTCTGCGAAGACAGGAACTGCGCCTCTGCATCCCTTGCCTACTGCCTAGTACACACTAGTTCATTAACAAGGACTTGTTGAATTAGCTAGCCTTTAGTCCATGACGGAACTAAAACTGGGAATCAAAATAAAGCATGATAAAACCATGGGTGAGATTATTTTAGGTCACATTCATTGCTGGTACTATTGACTGAAATCAAGAAATGCCAAGTATTGATCGTGAGATTCTTTTTTTTTTTTTTAAAGATTTTATTTATTTGACAGATGGAGATCACAAGTAGGCAGAGAGGCAGGCAGAGAGAGAGGAGGAAGCAGGCTCCCCACCAAGCAGAGAGCCCGATGTGGGGCTCAATCCCAGGACCCTGGGATCATGACCTGAGCCGAAGGCAGAGGCTTAACCCACTGAGCCACCCAGATGCCTCTGATCATGAGATTCTTAAAACAACACCCATTCTATTAAAAAAAAAAAAAAAGCAGAAAAAAATTTTACGTATTTGTCAGAGAGAGAGAGCACATGCAGAGGGGAGAAGCTACCACCCTACCCACTCCCCGCAGCAGGGAGCCAGATGCAGGACTCTGCCCCAGGACCCTGGGATCATGACCTGAGCCAAAGGCAGACGCTTAACAGACTGGGCCACCCAGGCATCCCCGCCCTGCCTTTTTGAAAACAAAAGCAAAGGGACACCTGGGTGGCTCAGTCAGTTAAGCATCCTGCTTCTTGATTGTGGCTCATATCATGACCTCAGGGTCGTGAGATCAAGCCCTGCATCAGGCTCTGTGCTGGATGTGGAGCCTGCTTAAGACTCTCCCTCTGTCCCTTCCCCCAACCCACCCCCACTTTCTCTCTTAAAAAAAAAAAAAAAAAGGCAAAATAAACTACTAGGATGACACCAAAATAAAAACTTCTGCACAGTGAAAAAAAAAAAACCATCAGCAAAATGAAAAGGCAACTTACTGACTGGGAGAAGATATCTGCAAATGATATATTCATTAGCAACTAATATCCAAAACATATAAAGTTATATAACTCAACACCGAAAAACAAATAATTCGATTAAAAAATGGGCGGGGACCTAAATAGATATTTTCCCAAAGATGACATTATAGACGGCCAAAAGACACACAAAATGATGCTCAACATCACTCATCATCACGGAAATGCAAATCAAAACGACAGTAAGATATCGCCTCACAGCTGTCAGAACAGCCAGAATTGAAGACAAGAAGTAACAAGGTACGTGAGGACGTGCAGAGAAAGGAGCCCTCATGCGCTGCTGGGAATGCAAACTGACACAGCCACCGCGGAAAACAGGGAGGGCCCTCAAAAAGCTAAATATAGAAATACAATACGATCCAGCAATTCCACGACTGGGTACTTACCCTAAGAAAACAAAACACCAATTCAAATATATGCACCCATGTTCACTGCAACACACAACAGCTAAGGTACAGAAGCAACTCAAGCGTCCCCACACACAGACGATGGATGGAGATGTAGTATACGTATACACAACGGAATCTCACTCAGCCATAAAAAGGAATGAGATCTTGCCATTCGCAACAACATGGATGGACCTAGAGGGTATTATGCCAAGTGAAGTAAGTCAGACAGAGAAAAACAAATACCATAGGACTCCACTTCTATATGAAATCTAAAAAGACCAGACAAAACAGACCCATAAATACAGAGAACTGCTGGTTGCCAGAGGTGCAGGGAGGTGGGGGGATGGGCAAAACGTGCCAAGGGGAGTGGGAGACAGAGGCTTCTGGTCAGGGCATGACTGAGTCAGAGGGATGACGAGTACAGCGCGGGGAAGACAGCCGATGGTGTCGCACCAGCGCTGTACGGGGACAGCAACCACACTGGTGTGAGCGTGGCATCACGGAGCTGTCAAATCACCATTCTGTACACCTGAAATTCCTATAATGTCGTGTGTTGATACTGCAGTTAAAACTAAGTAAAAGCTTCTCTTTTGATAGGTAAGTTCATGTTTACTGAAATATTATGTATGGAAAAATGCACAAATCTTACCAATGAATTTTCATTCCGCTTCCCTCAGCCAAATGCAGGTCTTTCTCCATCTGACTCCTTGTATCCACTTTCCTTAATTTTGTTCCCCTTCACACGGTTACCGGTTGTATTCCCCCAAGAAGGTATGTTGAGTCCCAATCCCCAGTATCTTAGAATACAACTTTATTTGGAAATAGGGTCTATGTAGCTCTAATCCAGACAAGATGAGGTCAGGGGCGTGGCTAATCCAAACATGACTGAGCTCCATCCACAAAGGGGAACCTGGAGGTGGAGGGAAGAGGATGTAAAGATGGCCATGCAGTGATGGACTCAGACTGGAGCGATCTAGGTCTAGAAGCCAAGCAATGCCAAAGGTTGCAGAGAATCTGTGAGACAATGAGTTTCTGCTGTTTGAAGCCACCAGTCCATGGTGCTTAGTTGCGGCAGCTCACAGAAACATGGCAGAGTCATGCTCACTGTATACTTTAAACCTACTTTCTACTATAAATCTTTATTTCACCTGCAGTCCCCACCGGACTGTGAGTTCCATGAGGAACCCTAAGTTCCTTTTACTCTCTGCTGCGTCCCGGTGCTTAAGACAGCATGCGGCACGGGGGTCACGTCAGTATTCGCTGTAATCCAGAGAAGATGCCGACATGTTACAAGATCAGACATATACATGGAGGAGAGGTAGAGCTATTCTTGGTCTCAAATAACAGAAAACAGGACTCAAGGTAGTTTGAGTAGATACAAATTTATTTTTTTACATAAAAGCCCAGCAGTCAGGAGTCCAGGACTGTGGCAGCACCTGACGTCCTAAGAACCCATGTTCTATCCAGCTCTGGTGTTCACTTTGGCCCCGGTGGTCAAAGAGGGCCTCTATACTTTGGGGGGTCACCTCCACATTCCAGCAGGAGGAGGGGGACAGAGCCACGCCAGCTGCTCTCTGACCCTTTCTACTGAGAACCTCCTTGGCAGACTGCCTCCAGCATCTCAGCAGGCACAACTCTTCTGGAACCACCCAGCTAAGGCGCTGAAGATGTGGCTGAGCACTGAGCCCTCCCGCTGCGCAAGAGGAAGAGCTGAAGGAGCGGTATCCGGAGTGTCTGACTCCGTGGTGCTGTGGCTCCGTTGGAAGGATGAATGTCAAGAAATGTGTTGGGATCACTGGCTAGACAGAATGGGAAAACCATGTCCCTACATCACACCCTACACAAAAGTTAATTTCATAATTACATACTAAATTTGAACAGCAAAATTTTTAAACCTTTGCGGGGAAAAAAGTCTTTGGAAAAGAGTGAATGACATTAAAATGCAGACTGTATATCACATGACATCATTAGAAAAGGAAAAAGATAAGCATACTGAGCTGTTTCTACAAAGGACACAACCTAAGGACCATATGACAACTCACACAGCAACCAGAAAAAGGGAGAGGCAAAAAAAATCAAACGACCACGGAGGAAATACAAATGGATTTTGATTTTGAAGATAACAAAAATCCTCAACCTGACTGGTAGAGAAATGCAAATTTAAACTTCTACACTTATCGGACTGTCAGAAAGTACATACTGACAACAGCCAGGGTTAAGAAAGGGCCAGAGGGAATCTCTATCATCAGGTGGGAGAAGAATGGATACAGCCCTCTCCAGAGAACAATGGGACATCTAGTAATCCTGGAACCCAACTAAATCTGCCCAGCAGTTCCTGTGCACTTGTGCCTGGATGGAGACGTGCTCAAGAATGGTCAGAGGAGCATTCTCAGAGCCAAACACCTGGAAACCACCCAAACATCCAACAACAGCCAAAGGCAGAAACTGGAGTCCACTCAAGGCCCACCCTGAGCTACATGTAACGCAAAGATTCACAAACAATGTTGAATTTTAAGATCCAAGAATACATCTGTGTGCCATTTGTAACTTTTAAAATGCAAACTACTACTATGTATTTACGGATACATACCTCCACGGTAACATTTTTAAGAAACACTTGAAAAAAAAAAATCAGAACCTGCAGCAATCGCCTTCAAAAGGAGGGCTCGTACTCAGGGCAGGGGGACAAGGAGGGATGCAAGTGTGTCAGCAACGCTTTATTTCTCATGTTGCACAGCAAGTACAAGGATACACATTCATGTTTATCTTTTGTATGATGAAATAACTCCATTTTTAAATCCATGTGGCAAAAATCGTGGATTACAGCAGCATGATCCCACATGTGTGAGAAAGCAGATGTGAAAGCACACATCGAACCTTCTAGGGAAGCACCTCCAGGTATAAACTCTGAAAGGGATGCAAAGAAGATGCTGACAGCCAAGAAGAGACCACAACCACTCCATCTTTGCCTTCAAATCGCTGGTCTTACACCTACTGATTCCCAAGCCTAGAACCTCACCCTAACCACCCAGTGTGGTTATTTCAAAGCAGCCCTTCCTGGGCCGCACTGTGCCCCCCACCCCCCGCCACTCCAAAGAAAACACTGTCCTTGCCCACACCCCATTGACTCCTCAAACCCAAACTAGAGAACACAGAGGTCAGACTTTTGTTCTCTAGGTGACTCCAATGTGCAACCAAGGGCCAGAGCCACATCGTCCAGGGTGCCACCGTGCCTCATCATTCAGGAATTCAGGGAGGCCCTGAGGGGCCAGAATGAAAGGCCAAGTGTGGTGCGTGTGGTGCTGACGATGGTGGCCGTAGCAGCTGTGGGGGGTTCCAGACCCCAGCCCTCAAGGTGGACATGGCGCTCCCCCTGGGGGAGGGAGAGGCTCGGGGAGACAGGAGCCACCCAACCTAGTGGATTTCCGGTGTCCGAACGGATTAAGTGTTGTGGAGAGAGAGGAGTTAGTATGCGTCACCTGCTCAGAACCACGCTTGGCATGTAGTAAGCACTCAAAGTTAGCTACTTCCCAAGTAAAGAAACAGTTTGGGGGTTAAGTGAGCTCAGTAAAATATTTCAGTAAAGAAGATCATGTTTACTCTTACAGCTTCATGAATGGTCTCCCAGCCCCATGAGAAGGAAACGCAGCTCAGACGTGTCTCACTGCGATCTCGTAAACAATCTCTCGACGTCTGACCCACGAAGGATGTGTCCTACATGTGCAGAGAGCACATGGAGAAGGACAAGAGAACGTGAATAGCTGCTCGACAAAGAGCTCAGGAGAGTGAAAGATTAACAGGAAAAGGAAGTTCTTCCTCCTCACTTCATCTACTTCTATCCACCTGCGAGAATCTAATCAAGAATATCAATTACAAAAAGCCTGGTTCCAACAGGAAGACAGGGTTGCTCTCACTTTTAAGATGGAGACTCGAATGTGACTTAGGAAGATGCTGAAGATGGTTCTAGAATGGATGAGAACACAGTGTTCTGTGGCAGAGTTAGCGGCATCCAAGAGCAGTCTGGAGAGCAGAGGCAGGCCATGGCCAGGACAGACCGACCCATGAAAGCTGCCAGATAAGGGTGCTTTCCCTCCAGCTGCTGGCTTTCTTCTACTCCCTCTGCCATCTTTCTCCCCTCAGAACACCCCAAAGGGAATACTGACCCTAGCCTGTCCTCCTGAGCCCATGAATCCCTTCCAGATCTTCCTGAAGCCCCCTTAGCCAGAGTTCCCTCGAGTTCACTTGCGCTTAGGTCACAGCCTCCATGTGGTACCCCACACTCTACCCTGGCTGAAGCCTTTCACCCAGAGGCTCAGGGCACATGGGAGACAGCACAGGGCCCTATCCCCTCACTTGCTATGTGACACTTGGCAAGTTTCGACTGACCTCCTAGAGCTGTGCTTCCCCACCTGGGAATGGCAGCACGGCACTGGCCTCCTGGGGCTGTGTGGCAGGGCCGAGGGGTGGAGGGTGAGAGCCATAAAGCACTGGCCACTTGGAAGTTACTTGAAGAAAAAGAGAAGCATGCCCCTGAGGACAGTCACACAGCTGAAGTTGGTTGTTTCACTTTATTTAGCAAATGGTCACCCTCTGAGCCCTACCAGATTGCTCCTCCAGCCTCACTCAAGGGTCTGCCTTGGGAAGCAGCTCAGAGGGCAACTGGGAAGGCCCAGGTTCCCTAGTCAGCCTCCTCTTCCACCAACACACCCTGCAGAGAACAAAATCACTGCTCACGTCCTCAGGCACCCACCCTAATGTGGCTGAGGGGCCCTCCAGTGTTCAAGAGCCTGCCAGGGCCCAGCTCCAGGCACAGCTTCCTTCCTGCTCCTGAGATGCTGGCAACGGGCTAGGACCTCTGTCCCCAGCTGTGGGGGTGCCAAACCCTATTCCCTAGCCCTGCAGCCTGTCCTTGCTGGGCAAGAAGCAAAATGTACGAAAATACTTTTAATCATTTCTTTGAAACAGTTAAGAAATAAGGTCGTCTTATTTTTCTTTTACAATCCCAGTAAAAAAAAAGTTCACATTAGTGCTGGGGCCCAAAACTAGGCCCTTCCCCGGAGCGGAGCACTGGCCACTCAGTAGAAGCGCTTGTTTCGCTCCTGCCGCTTCTGAAACACCACAGCCCCAACCACGGCACACACGATGATCCCCAGCAGCGCACAGAGCAGCAGCAGGAACACCCGCCACCCCGTCAGCGGCCCGCTGCGGAAGTTGCCGGTCGGGTCATCCACGTTATCTGGGGGAGAAGAGAGGGGAGCTGCAGTGGCAAAGTGGAGGTGGCAGGCAGGCTCTCAGGAGACGGGGGAGTCCGAAGGGACGGAGCCGAGCGACAGGCCACAGCCAGCCCTACAGGGGAAGCTGTGGCCTGCTCACAGCCCTACCGGTGAGGGACGTGGGATGGACGGAGGCAGAACCGCCCTAGGACCTAGCTTCCCAGGGATCAAGGCCCCAGGAGCCTTCTGCCGCAAGAAGCTAGTGAAAGCTGGGACTCCTGGCCTCCCCAGGAGAGCCTGAGTCTGCACAGGGCAGGCCCAAGATCTGTGTTCACAAAACCCCGCTCCAGCCCCTTGCAGGGGCCCAAGGCCCCCCTCTGGAAGAACAAAGCTCTGGCCGAAGGCTGCCCTGACTCACACCTGGATGCTTTCCATGGCTCCCTGGGGGTCTCCCAAGCCCCCCGCCCCCTGTCCTTCTGCTCCAGCCACACTACTTCTCTGCCTGCTAACACCATCAACAATGCTGCAGGGAATGAGGCCCTGCCACAGTAGGTATCTCCTGGAATTCCAACCACACTGGGATGGGGAACTCTTGATCTCCCTTTTATAGGAGGCTGACGGGAGGAACAAACTGTCAAGTTCATCAGTCTGTGGTGAAGGGACTCGGGTCTGGACTCAGGCCCTTCTGCCCTGTGCAGCCTGGGCCCTGTTCCTGCCACTTGGCCTCCCTCCGCAGACACAACCCCCTACTCCTTACTGTGGGGATTACTCGGGGCCTCCTCCCAGCCAGGCCTGAATGCCAGCCAGGAGCCAACTTACATCCTCCTCTCCCACACAACCTGAACAGGGCAGGCCTGCTGACATGGTCTTAACACCAGCCTCTCTCCTCCTCTTGCCTCAGTCACTAGACTTAGCCCCAGGACAGCCCACAGCTAGGCACCGAGTGGAATTTCTGGAACCATCTGCTAAAGGAATGAAAAGAGCAACAAGTCTGCAAACTAGTTAATCCCTACGTGGCCAACCTCCTAGGGCTGCTGGGTAGGTCAGAGCAGATTAGGTCTCCAAAAGCCCTCAGCAGCCAAAAACTCTTCAATCGAAGGTTGCAAAACCAGTGGCGTATGGCAGGGTCTGTTTAGCCCCTGAGATGTTTAAAAGTAATTTGAATCTTAAAACAGTGAGACGTCATGTAAAACGCTGGGTTCCACTCTGGCTCCCACTCTACATGAAGACCTTGGGCTAGGCTGAGAGGCTCCTCAGGGCCCCAACCCCAACCCCACAGGCACAACTTCAAGGTTCTTGGGGTGTATGTCCACACACACACAGGAGTTTCACTTCAACCAGAACCCTTGCTCTGTGAAGACAGGCTGGTGGCTAATTAGTGCCAGGGGAAGAGTCTGGGCCTTTGTGGCTTGGCAAAAACTTAAGGTCAAATCTTGCCTTTACTTGTTTCTAGCTGAGGAAAGCTGGAGGATCAGTTCCCCCAGCTCGAGGCAGGATCTCCTGCCCAGGCCATTCACTGAGGCCACACACATATTGTATCAGAATGCCCTGCACACCACCGACACCAACAATCTGGCCCCTCTGTCTTTATTGCCCATCAACCCAGCACCAAGCACTGGCAGAAGCAGAGGCCAGGTGTTCTCACATCTGTTCATTAGCACTGACTGTTACTCTAAGACCCCAGGCCACAACCCAACCAGGTGAGAGCAAATAGACCACAGGCACTCAGCCCAGCTGGCCCCACCCCCACCCTGCACAAGGCTGCCCAAGCTGGGGTGGGCCTCAAGCATCTACCTTTGGGTGACTTGAGGAAATTAACGCTGGGCTCAATCTTGGTCCAGTCGATGTTCTCTTCATCAGGAGTGTGTTCCACCATCAGCTGGAACAGCTTCATGGAGATGATGTCATGATTGTCTGCAAGACCCAGAGTTAGCTTATTATAAGGGGTGCAGAGCCTGCCTTAGGGCACATGGCCCATGCCCCTCCCCAGCTCCAGGCTGCCTCTCCAGTCAGGGAAAGTGGCCAGGTCCCCCGGAGCAAACCCTGCTCCTGCCGCCTGAGGGGCCTGTTTTCTTTCCAGCGACCTCCAGCCACCCCCAACAGGCAGCGTTGCAGAGGCTGTAATACCTCTAAAACATTAAGAAATCTGGGAGGAGGCAGAACAGACACACACAAAAAAGCATGGGTTTTACACTGAGAATCAGCTGGGTCTAAATCCTGAGTCAGGTTCCTTGTTTGTAAATCTGGATGATACTCTCCACCTTGCCTGGTTATCACGGCAAGAAAATGAGATAGTGGGACGCCTGGGTGGCTCAGTTGGTTAAGCGGCTGCCTTCGGCTCAGGTCATGATCCCAGCGTCCTGGGATCGAGTCCCACATCGGGCTCCTTGCTTGGCAGGGAGCCTGCTTCTCCCTCTGCCTCTGCCTGCCATTCTGTCTGCCTGTGCGCACTCTCGCTTCTCTCTCTAGGACAAATAAATAAATAAAATCTTTAAAAAAAAAAAAAAAAGAAAGAAAAAGAAAATGAGATAGTACATACAAAGCACAAGACATCGCCCAGCAGAGAGTATGTACCAGAAGAAAACCTGCATGTTATTCTATGGCTGTTTGAGAAGCCTGATCCTCTCAAGGGGCAGTAAGCAGCTGCCAGGTGCTCTGTCAGAGACCCAAGAACAAGACGCAGACAAACCACTCAGCTACCTGAGGGCTAGGCCCCAATTCCTGGGCAGTGACTGTCCCCGAGGAGACGTGAGAAAAGGTCGGGTCTAACAGTGTGGGCAGAAGAGAACCTCTGGGACGCCTGGGTGGCTCAGTGGGTTAAGCCTCTGCCTTCGGCTCAGGTCATGATCTCAGGGTCCTGGGATCAAGTCCCGAATCGGGCTCTCTGCTCAGCGGGAAGCCTGCTTCCCTTCCTCTCCACCTACCTGTGATCTCTGTCTGTCAAATAAATAAAATCTTAAAAAAAAAAAAAGAGAGAGAGAGAGAGAGAACCTCGGCTTGACACTAAGGATCACCCCATTCTGAGATGGGGAGGGTCCGACCCGAGACAAGGGTGCTGGTCCCTTAAATCTAGTATCAATGCAGCTAATGAGCTGAACGTGAGGCAAAGCCTCATGCCAAGAACTCTGGAGACTGGAAAGGGAGAGCCTAAAGAACAGGGAGCTGGCAGCTGGGTCAGGCAGAGCCCTGTGGTACCTGCCAGTCCAGTGTGCATAGCCCCGGGGGCCCAGGGACAAGTCCTGACTCTCAGGTCTGACAGCAGTTCCCATCTGAGCTCTGCCCTTCCTAGGTCTGTGAACGTGGGGAGATCCCTTCACCTCTCAAACTCCCCACGGTATCAGGTGTATAAAAGAGAAAAGCGGGGCACCTGGGTGGCTCAGTTGGTTAAGCAACTGCCTTCAGCTCAGGTCATGATCCTGGAGCCCCAGGATCGAGTCCCACATCGGGCTCCCTGCTCAGCAGGGAGTCTGCTTCTCCTGCTGACCTCTCTCCTCTCATACTCGCTCTCTCTCATTCTCAAATAAATAAATAAAATCTTAAAAAAAAAAAAAAGGGAAAAGTGGCCACGCCATCATGTGACACTGGTGAGCAGCCTGTTGCAGAGGCTCACACTCACACACCTCCGATGAATGGCCGGGCACTACTGTGTAGACAGCCATCTCTAGCAGTCTCCACTGGGCCTCTCCAAACGGCCTCAGAGAGCATCCACTGCCACAGATCTGGCTTTGCTCCCAGAACCTTCTCCTGACACAGGCTGAAATAGGATCAGGTAAAATTCCAGATTGCCTGAGGGGGAAGACTGTGGTGGAAACCTAGATGAAACCAGACTGACAGCCCCCTGATAACTGACTGCCACGGTGTCCACCAGCAACTAATGATTCCCTGAAGCTGGGTAACAGGGGCAAAGGGACTTACTAGACCATTCTCCCCACTATGGGGTATATAATAAAAATATCCATACCAAAAACTTTAATACCCCAAAGCAATGACTCTCTGGGGACCAAGTGGACCCAGGCTCCCAGATAGTGGCTGGATTACAGGCCCTGGAAAGGTCTATCCTGAGGACGAATAAGCCCTTTTGCTTCCCACTTTCGGTCAGGAGCGCCTGGGCCTGGTGCCTCTGAGGGCCCTGATGCCTTCTGAGTACCATAACCAAAGGTCACTATCAAGTGTCACCCAGGCCCAGTGGCCCAGCAAACCCTGCACAGGCTGACAGCAGCCCAGTGCTTACAGAGCACACTGTGGGCCAAACGAGAGCCCTGACTTTATGAAACCTACAGTTTGGTGAAAGGGACACATGAAAGCCAAATTATATGGTAGATTCCAAGATAGTTAAATACTATGAAGAAAAATAAATCCAAGAAAGGCAATAAGGAGTGCAGAGAAAACTGTATTCGTGTGCCATTTTAAATAAGGGAAGCAGGGGTGCCTGGTTGGCTCAGCTGGTAGAGCGTGTGACTCTGGATCTTGGGGTTGTGAGGTCAGGCCCCACATTAGGTATAAAGCTTACTTTAAAAATGTAAATAAAGGGCGCCTGGGTGGCTCAGTGGGTTAAGCCTCTGCCTTCGGTTCAGGTCATGATCTCAGGGTCCTGGGATCAAGTCCTGCATCGGGCTCCCTGCTCAGCAGGGAGCGTGCTTCCTGCCAGCCCCCCCGCCGCCCGCCCACCGCTGCCTGTCTGCCTACTTGTGATCTCTCTATCAAATAAATAAATAAAATCTTTAAAAATAAAAAAAGTAAATAAAAATAAAAAAATAAATAAAGGGAATCAGGGAAGGCCCCACTGAGGAAGTGACATCTGAGTAAGACCTGAAGGAGAGGAGTGTAAGGCACAGGCACAAAGGCCTGGCAGAGGGCACTGGCATGTCTGAAGAAAAGCCATGGGTGATGTAAGGGAGCAGGGAGCCATGAGTCACAGGTGATGTGGGGGGAGGAGAGGCACTGGCACACAAGGCCCAGGAGACCATTACTAGGACAGACAGTGGCCTTGACTCTGCAGGAGACACGAGCAGCGGTGAGATCTCACTCGAGCTTCCATGGAATCGTTCTGGCTGCTGAGCTGGGAGAGACTGTCGGGGGCTAGTGTGGAAGAAGAGGACCACGTGGGCGGCTCATGTGAGTGAAGACAATGGCCCGGACCTGCCAAGTAGTAACAGAGGGGAGAGAAGTGGTCCGCTGCACTGAGAAGACAAGGCCAGCAGGACTCGCCAAAGAATGAGAAGTGGCATGTAAGAGGGGTAAAAAATGAGACTGGAATGACACCAAGGTTTTTGGGGCTGAACAACTAGCGTAACAGAGGTGTCATTTATGCCTCGGTAGCAAGATGTGGGCTTCAGCTGTGGGCATGTGAAGGCTAAAATGCCTGTTGGGTATCCAGGTAGAGATGTTGGGCAGGCAGGTGGTTACATAGGTCTGGAAAGGTCTGAGCTGGTGATGGAAAGATGGGACTCTGCAGCATCTGGATTCAAAGCCCTCTAGCTGCTCAAGAGCATGGAAGATGGCTGAGGGAGTGCTCATGCAGTAAGCCCCAGGTGTGCCAACATTCCCAGATGCTGGAAAGTGAAGGAAGAAACACAGGTACATGCAGACCCAAATGAAGGGAGTTCAAGAAGGAAAGTGATCAACTGCATCGCAAGCTTCTGACAGACCAGCGAAGGGCAAGACTGAAGCTTAATGCCTTGCTCAGCCCACACACTCACCAGATAGGTCTCCCGTGCCAGCCGAGGCTCCGAAGTAGTAGCCTGTGGGCAGGCGCACTCCCGTGATGTCGATGCAGTTTTTCCACTCATTCTTGTCCTCTAGGTCAGTCATCACCTGCAGCCAGCCAGCAAGTTAAGTACACACCATGCTCAAGCCCAGCCACCTCCCTGAGCCCCCACAGACAGAGCTGGCCCTGGCCTGCCTGCTCACCGTCAGACGGCCCCGGGAGTAGCGCACAGCAAGGAAGGTATCATGATCGCGGTTCCGGAAGTCGGCCGTGCAGCCCGCCAGCTCGGTCCAGCGGCCATCTTTGCTATGGTCGTAGGACAGGGAGCCATTGTTCACCATCACCGAGATGTACGGGAACACACGCTGAGACCGAGACACCAGTTACTCCATGGCCAGCCCAACCTGTGGGAGGCAGTGGGGGCCCCAATCCCTGGAGACCCCACTGTGCCAAGACCAGGGAGACGTCCTGGTCCCCAACCCTCCGGCCAACTGCTCGGCCCTTCCTGTCCTGTCAGAGGCAGAAGGCAGAGGCATACCTCTGTGGTCTCATCGTTGGGATACGTGTCCAAGAAGATGGCTAAGCCGTGGAAGTTGTCTTTGCTCCCAAACACAGGCCCTGGAATTAGAAGGAGATGCTCTCATAATGGGAGATATTGGGAGTTGTCCCCTGGTACCTGAAGGACAAAGTAATACCAGTGCAGGTGGGGGAAAGAGAGGTTAATCTGAGGTCATTCACCCAGGGAAGGGAAGATCTCTAAGGGAGGGGAGGTGTCAGGGGTGCAGCAGAGAAGACTCAAAATCTGAAACCAGAACTGTTGAGGGAATAGCACCTGGCCTTGTGCTCTGACATGTCAGGTGACAAGAGGGCAGGGACCCCTACAGAGGAAGCCCCATCTTCTAAGCCAGGGGTCAGCAACTTTATGTCAAGGGCCAGAGAGAAAACATTTTAGACTTTTAAGACACATATGGTCTCAGCCACATAGTCTTGTTTTTGCTATTTTAAAACTGGTAGAATGATGGGATGCCTGGGTGGCTCAGTCAGTTAAGGATCCAAGTCTTGGAGTCGGCCCAGGTCATGATCTCAGGGTCCTGGGATTGAGCCTTGCATCAGATTCTGTGCTCAGCTCTGCTTCCCTCTCGCTCTCCCTCTGCCCCTCCCCCTGGTTCACGCATGCTCACTCACGTGCTCTAGAGCACACTCTAAAGTAAATAAATAAATTGGAAAAAAAAAAAGTTGAATGGTAAAATCCTTTCTTAGCTGGTGTACAACACCAGGCCACAATGGTATAGCTGCTAGGATCCAGCTAGCCCTCTTCTTAAAGGGACACTTCCCAGAGCAGACTCAAAGAGGAGCAGTAGGACCCTAACCGGAGGGTACAGAATGCCCTCACCTAGATAAGTGCGTCCCTACCTGGCACAAGGCGGTCCCGGGTGTACCACAAGGCAATGCCATCTCCATGGAGATTCTTCTTTCCAGCACCATGGACTTTAAAGTGGACGTGCATCTCCCAGTCCTTGAGGAAGCAGGGCTGCAGGGAAAGCAGAGAGAGCTGCTCAGAACTCACTGGCTATCCTGCCAGCTAGAGGTGACCCAGCGCAAGCCCATCTCCTCCACTGAAACTGGCACTCCTTGGAACAGGGCCAGGCAGCAGAGTCACCAGTGACATGGACCAACAGACACCCGACCCCTCCCCCCCCGACATTCTCCACAGGAAGGGAGGGGGCTGCTGGGCCTCCCAGGTGGGGAGGAAGGGGCCACCCAGTGTCCCAGGGCTGCCTGGGCCGCCCATCCTGGCCCTAGTCTTCTCTTCGGCCTGGCCACAGGTTCTCACTCTATGATTCACCTTCCTCAACACCAACCAAACCAGCCATTTCCTCTCCATCCCCACTACTCCTGCCCCAAAATCTTGTAGGATTACTACTCCTATTTGAGCCACATGTTTTACAAAACAGAAAACCCATTCAAAGACAAAATAACTTGTCCACAGCAGGTTAAGTGGACTTAACCACAGCAGGTTACGATCACCCAGATCTGTCGGACTCAAACTTTTGCTATGTCTTCTATACCTCCCATGACCTTCAGGCCTTTAACACAAAGTGCAGCAACTCTTTTCTGGTCTCCCACCTTACTGTCTTCCTTTCTAACCATGTTTCCAAACTGAGACACTCAAACCCAGGTATGGATGACTCCAAACCCCAACCTCTTGGCCGGCACCCTTCCTGCCTCTTGCAGACCTGGTCCAGCTTCAGTGTGAGGACAGTGCCAGGGCTGGTGGGCTGGAAAGTTCATGCTCTGGGGTCTCTGGGCTGTTGTGATGTGAGAAAAGACAGATATTCCCTGGTATTCAGGAACACCAGCTGCAGAGCTGGGCACTGTCCACAATAAGGGGAACAGCCTAGCCTCACCCACCAGGAAGTTGCTGGTGAAAACTAAGGTGTTGACACACATACTTTGACAAGAATCCACACGGGGGAAGTCTACAGATGGGGATGTGAGCAAGTGTTTAAACAAAGGCCCATTAGAAAAGCAAACTAAAACAAGATGTTGTTGACTTATCAGATTGGCAACTATTAAAGAGATCATTAATACCAGTGTAGAGGAGGATGAAAAGAAACACATGCTCTCAAACAACCAATGGGACTGTAGATGCTCCCATTTTCTTGGGGGCAGTCTGGTTGTTGTAGCTTTTTTTTTTTTTTTTAATTTTATTTATTTATTTGTCAGAGAGAGAGAGAGAGAGGGAGAGAGAGCAAGCACAGGCAGACAGAATGGCAGGCAGAGGCAGAGGCAGAAGCAGGCTCCCTGATGAGCAAGGAGCCCGATGTGGGACTCGATCCCAGGACGCTGGGATCATGACCTGAGCCGAAGGCAGCTGCTTAACCAACTGAGCCACCCAGGCGTCCCGTTGTTGTAGCTTTTTAACAGACCACAGCACATCCGTAAGCCTTTATACTTGAAGATATCAAAGATATTAAGAGAAGAAAAGTTGACAAAGTTCAAATTTGTATACAGAGAGAAAATAAAAATTAAAGGAACATGGGCCAACATTAATGATACGTGACTTTGAGAGGGGAACTACAAGACATGTTTACTTTCTATATTTGAATTTTATATCATTAATATAATTTTTAAAACTCAAAAACAGAAAACTTTATATCCCCTCTTAGACGGTCTGGCTGGGGCATTCACTGATTCATCAGACTTACTGTTCCGGCTCTGGGAACCAAAAACCAAGATGAAGAACCCCAGTTTCAGCCCAGGAACACAGATGGCAGACACCTAACCAACAGCTCGCAAGTAGCGTGAAATCTTGGCCTTCCCAATTCTTGGGAGTTCACTGGCTCTGTGGAAATCTGCAGATTCTAGAGGGGACAGGTGAGAGCCGAGGAGACCAGCTCTCAAGGATAGATGGACAAAGACTGATGCCAAGCCCTGCTGAGGGAGTGAAAGGCCTGGTGAACCACCCTTGCCTTGGGCTGAGACCACAAAGAAAACAACCCAAAAATGAGAGCGAGGAAAAGCCCTGCCAGAGGCAGGAGCCTACCTAGCTTGAGCCCTCTCATCCCTTAAAGTAGACTAAAGCGACTCACCCACACCTGAAACTGTTCAACAAACAATCTTACAAAATACAGTATCCAGCATACAATAAATAATCAGAAACACAAAAGACAAGTTATCAACCAAAACCAAAAAGGAGGGAGGGAAAGGCAGGCTAATGGGAACTCCATATACTGGACTTTCAAATAACTAGCTTACTACTTCAAGGAGATAAAAGACAAAATTGAGAACTCTGGGAAATAACTGAAATTTTTAAAAAATCACCTCACAAAAAAATTCCAGAATTAAAAAAGTATCTGAAAATAATATAACAAACAGGTTCAACAACAGATTAAAAACAAAGAGAGAACCAGTGATCTCAAGGCCAGTCAGGTAGATAAAAATATCCAGGAGGAAGCACAGAGAATGAGTGATAGATACAAAATTGTCAGTAAGAGACAGAGAATGAAAGATACGTATAACTGGAGTTTCAAGATAAGAAGTGAGACAACAGGTCAAAGGAATTTTTTTTTTAAAAGATTTTATTTATTTATTTATTTGACAGAGAGAAATCACAAGTAGGCAGAGAGGGAGGCAGAGAGAGAGGAGGAAGCAGGCTCCCTGCTGCGCAGAGAGCCCGACGTGGGGCTCAATCCCAGGACCCTGAGATCATGACCTGAGCTGAAAGCAGAGGCTTAACCCCCTGAGCCACCCAGGTGCCCCGACAAAAGGATTTCTTAATGAACAAAAGATTTCATTTACCAGGAAAATTTTGGCCTCAAAAATCTATCAAGCAGAAACGGACAGAATTACAAAAATAAAAACAAATCCACAAAGCAATTTACACACCTCTCTCAGTAATTGATAAAAACAAGCAAAAATGTCAGGAAGAATACAAATACTTGAACCCAATCAGCAAATGTGACCAAGGACCTAAAGGGCACAATGTACTCAACTAGCTGAGAATCTACATTCTTTGCAAACGCACACAGAAAATTTTCCAAAAACCTGACCCTTTGCAAGACTCAACAGACCTCCAAGGACGGAAATAATAGATTGTGTTCTTTGACCATGATAAACTCAAACTAGATATTAATGATGACTTAATTTTTTAGGAACTAGAAAAGCTTTTATGTTTGAAAAAAGAGTTAAACATATCTCACCTCTACAAAAGTCAGCCCAGAAACCAGATTTCAAATGGTCTCTTTGGTGCCCAGGAGTTTTCTGCATCTGAGAACAATGCACTGAGATAAGACCCCAAGCGGGTATAAGGGGTGCCTCCAAGCAGAAGGGCAACTGCAGGGAGATGGGAAAGGAACACCTACTCTCCTGCCCCTGGTACGGTTTATAGGGAGAGGAGTTTCCGGAAAGGGTACACACAGAAGTTGAAACCTAGAAACTGAATCCTACACGACCAGTCTCTGCGTATGGCAGACTGAAAACTGCAGATCGGTGGAGGGAAATACAAAGATAGAGACACTATATAGCCTCTGAAGGATTTTAAGCAGGTTCAGGTAAGGTACCAGCTGGAACTGATTTAGAAGCTGCTTTTGGACGCAGAGAGTGATATGGCCATGCTTTTCCAACCTCGATGCAAAACTGAGCCGGCTGGGGCGCTCAGTAATCTTAACGCCCTGGCCCTCCCTGGGGCAACTAAATCAGAATCACCTGGCTACAGGTGATTTCCATGCTTTGGCTCACAAGTAGGAGGCAGAGCTAATCAAAGAGTCAGCTGATACATCATGAAACATTCTGATGAGAAATCACTATGTGATTTGGGGTTTGTAAACCTAAGGAAGTTGAAAATATCAAGTAACTCTGCTATAACAAAACTCCCTCCATCCTCATCTACTATTTAAGTGAACAGATCTATAAAAACAAAAAGCAGAAATGGTGCTGAGGCCTATCTTACTCTGACAATAACAACCATCCAGACAGGGACACACTTCAAATTTCTACTTCTACGATAATTATCCAAAAATTGTGTGATGCATTTATTTTGACCAAATGTGTATTAATAATATTCCCCCCCAAATACTAAAACTTAGTTTTAAGGTCCCACCAAAGTTAAAAGGTTTACATTATTACACTTATTTTAGTTGGAAAGGAATGAGACACGCTAATCAGTAAGAGATTTTCAAGCATTAAATACACTGCACAGAACAAAATTCTATGTGGGATGAAATGAAAATACAAATTCAATAAAGAAAAAACTTGATGTATAATTTGGGCTGATTCACAGCATTTAAAACATACGGTGAATATCAAATGGAAATATTTAGATTCCACTGAATACACTTAAGAGTACTGAACAGTTTCATTTTAAAATGGCAATATTTAGGGGCACCTGGGTGGCTCAGTCAACTGAGCATCCCACTCTTGATTTTGGCTCTCAGCTCGTCATGATCTCCATGATCTCATGCTCACTCTGTTCATTCTGCTCAGAGTCTGCTGAAGATTCTCTCTCCCTACCCCGCAACCAGGGCGTATGCTCTCTCCCTCAGTACATACATAAAATTTTTTAAAAAATAAATAAATAAAATGGCAATATTTAAAATATACCGGAAACTACATCCTTTGCAAACATTTAAATGTAAGAAAAGCAGTTCTGGATATCAACTTCTAAAAAGTGTAAGAGGATATTCAGACAGTACATCAGCCACAAAAGCTTAAATACTACTCTGCAGCCCACACAAGGCTCCCCAGGATGGGCCCAATCAACCCCTTGGGCTTCCCTCTGTCCTGTGCTCCAGCCATCAGACTCTTGGGAGTTCCAGTCACCTTGGGGCCACTCCCTGGTCTGGACAGCTCCACCCCAAAACCGCAGAAGCTATGTTTTCTCTTCTTGGGACCACAGCAGGTGCTTATGAGTATTTTGCTAATTCAGGGCCCTTCCCAGAGTGAGGGAGACAAAGAAACATCCAGAAAGCACATCTCCAGTAAAGGAAAGTTCTTGGGAAACAACAGGCAGAAAGTTCTAAGCATTCCAAGTAATTTCTTTCAAGAATTACAGGAACCACTCCAACTCTTTCAAGAATATCTGCAGGGCTAAATAGGAAAGTCCCTAGAAGTGAATGGAGACGTGGGGGAAGGAAGAGAATTATATTCCAGACTGAAAATTTGACAAAGTTAAGTGCAGAACTCTCTCAGCCCTGTGACATCACCAAGCCACTGACAGTGCCAACCAACAGTCACCTACAACCATAATTAAGTTACTTGTAGCTGAACCAATTTCTGAAAGTTCCAGCACTGTTTGTACCTTACTTAAAAAAAGGAAAAATTAATGACATACTGAACTCACTCCCATAAAAAATGTAACACATTATAATTTTTAAAAATTATCTGAAAACCCTAAGACAGAATAATGTGACAGGATGTGACGCGGGGGAGACAGAGTAGTTAATGAAATACTGAGTGGGTGGCACTCAAGCTGAGACATACCAGACGAGAAAGAAGCAGGCAGGCATTAAGAACCAGGAGGCAGTGTCCCAGACACATGGAACAACAAGTGCAAAGGTCCTGAGGCAAGAAGGCAGCCAGAGAGGCTGTATAAAATTACCAATATAAATGGAGATGCCATGCACCAGGAGCCAGACTGTGTAGACATAATGTCTGTTTATGCCCTTCACAGAAGACCCCAGGCTCTGAGGATCAGAGTGAAAGCTGAAGAAAGTAACCCAGATGCCCCTAGCAGAAAGGAGAGGAGGAGCAGAAGGGACAGGCAGATGGACAAGGACAAGGACAGTGTGGGCTCCTAGAACTAAATGTTCTGAATGTCCTGAAGCCATTCAGAATGGACCAAAGAACAGGGTGATGAAGAAAACTAGGACAATGGCCAACAGCTTAAGCCTATGGGAAGAAGTGGAATCAGGTACGCTGAGGTAAGAACAGCTTCCAGCCCATGTGTGACCCAGCCCCAAATTAGTCCCCTTTCGCCCCTTTCCTGACCTAGACTTCCTCAGTGTGGAGTCTGCATAGCAACTTATTTTGGCCACTGGTCACGTATGACATGCCAGTGACACCTGAGGTTCGCTAACCTCTAGACTGAAGGTCACAAAAATCAAAAGTGATTTTTATTATCAGTGATGACAAGACCCTCAGTAAAGCACTGGGGAAGTGGACTAAGTCCACATGTATTTCTAAGGGATTCCTCCATTGTACAGGAGGAGCAAGGCGGGCATTTGTTGCAAGTGAATTGCTGGGCTTCGATATCAGACAGATCAGACTTTAAATACTGATTATACCATTCAATGTCTGTGTTAGCTCTGCATAAAGCCGTGACAACCATCTACTTTCAAACAGCCTGTTTGAGAATTAAATGCAATAAGGCTATTTAAGGTCAGTGGCTAACACACACAAAATACCCAATAAGGATTCCATCTGTTCCATTTACCCACTATTGAGAGTTGAATTCAGACAGCTATGAGCTCCACTGCTTACCAGCTATGTGACTTTGAGTCAGGCACTTTCAACTGAGTCTTAGTTTCGTCAGTAAAATGGAAATAACATCACTTAATTCACCTGGCTTTCCAAGAAACTAGATGAGAAAGGTGTGAAGTGTCAGGCACAGCTCCCCACAGTTAACTTCAGTAGTCATTCACAGTGACTTCAAGAGTCAAGATGAGGATACCTTGTGGGGGGTGGGGGATCACAAGCCTTCAACCCAAGCTCAGATCTGGGGTGTTGCGGAGACTGGTAGTAGCAGCTTACTTAAGGATACACCTAGCGTCCTGGGAGTCACTCACCTGGTGGTTCCAGATAGAGCCCTCTTTGCTGCGCTCATCAGGGGTCAAACGCACGTACTGGCTCGTGAGTATAGTGCTGCCTTGGAAGTCCCAGAGGGGCATGGAGCTGGAACCGACCCCTGTGGGGAGAGAGGGGAGTAGACAGGTGCGTAAGAGGCCATGCCAGCAATGGCCTTGCCAGAGGCAGAAAACCCACAGAGCTGCTTTGTTTAGGAGAAAGGAAACCCCTTTAACCAACCCTATCCAGCCTCGCCCTCACCCTGCACTCATTCCCGCCCCAGGCCTCACCTTGGTAGGGCTTGATAAGCGAATGCTCCCGCTTGAGGTGTTCACTGTTGCCGTCAGTTATATCCGCAACAACCGGCCCCAGCAACAGGAAGAGAAGTAGAGGTGTAGTGGGGCCAGGGCCGGGGCCGGGAAGCCCAGGCCTCCCCGGGCACCGCCGGCCCCAGCCCCAGCGCCAAATCCAGCCTTCCGCCGCCATTCTCCGTTCCTCTTGGCCACTTCCGCCCTAGGACTTCCGCCTTCCGGGTGTCCCACCTCATGTCTCCGGCGGGAAACCCTTCAACCCTAATGTCACCGGGAAGTTAAAAAAAAAGCAAAGCCTCGCAGCCGAAAGGAAGGCGGCTTTATTTACTGAGCAGGCCCCCAACCTGGCCAAATGCCGTTCCATCTCCTTGGCGGCTCCGAGGAACCTGTCTGCCAGCCTCAGCAATGGGTTTCTAGGAGCGACAAGAGCCGCAACCAATCGTGGAACAGCACGTTAGGCTTGTGAGCCAATGAGGAACAGAGGGATAGTAGGACTCGGGGCAGCACGAGGGGCGTGTGCGAAGCGAGGCATGCTGGAACTTGTAGTTTGGGGGGGGGTTAGCGCGGGCTGGGCAGAAGAAGAACGACCTTGGCCACCAGCCGGTGATCGCATCTCTGGAGTAACATTTCCCAGTCCTGGGGGGAAAGAACTCAGAATGGAAGGAGGAAGCCTCAATTCCAGCTCCCTCGCCCCCTCGTACTCACTGGGTGGCTCTGGCTACCCAGTCTTAAAGGTTTCTGGCCCCACCTCTCTCCTAGCGCCAGGCCTTTGGAGACGTAGAATTCCCAGTTGCGGGCTCCACTATTTCCAACTCCGGTGGCCCAGTAGGGTTTAAGCCAGGGGAGCGGACCCGGATCCTATCCCGGATTCCTGAGACGGTTGCTACCCACCCGGATCCAAATCATTTTAGTGCCCGCCCGCTGCAGCTGGAAGGGGCCATGAATGGTCCAGAAAAGCCACCTGTGGACCAGAGGTCAAAAACTTCTGGCGCACAGCTGGGTAGAGCTCTGTTTCACCTGTTCATGCTGTTTCAATACAATGATTTAAATATCGATTTTATTTATTTATTTATTTATTTATTTATTTATTTTTAAGATTTTATTTATTTACCTGACAGACAGAGATCACAAGTAGGCAGAGAGGCAAGGAGAGAGAAATGAGGAAGCAGGCTCCCCGTTGAGCAGAGAGCCTGATGCGGGGCTCAATCCCAGGACTCTGGGATCATGACCCAAGCCGAAGGCAGAGGTTTTAAACCACTGAGCCACTCAGGCTCCCCTATTTTTTTTTTTTTAATTGTATTTATTTATTAGAAAGCGAGAAGGCACAAAACGGGAGGGGGGTGGGGTTGGGGGAGAGGGAGGAGTGGACTCCCCGCCGAGCAGCGATTCCCAGGGGAAGTCAGCAAGCGGGCTCCCCGCTGAGCAGAGAGCCGGATGTGGGGCTGGATCCCAGGACCCTGAGGTCATGACCTGAGCCAAAGGCAGAGGCTTTAACCCACTGAGCCACCCAGGCGCCCCAGCCCATCGGTATTTCTAAATCGACAGACTTAACATCAGAAATCCAAATTTCGGGGCACCTGGGTGGCTCAGTGGGTTAAAGCCTCCGCCTTCGGTTCAGGTCGTGATCCCGGGGTCCTGGGATCGAGCCCCACGTCGGGCTCTCTGCTCCGCGGGGAGCCTGTTTCCTCCCCTCTCTCTCTCTCTGCCTGCCTCTCTGCCTACTTGTGATCTCTCTCTGTCAAATAAGTAAAATCTTAAAAAAAAAAAAAGAAAAAAGAAATCCAAATTTCCGGCTTTTCAGGAAAATCTGGAGATCCAACCACACTACGCCCATGTGGCCTTACAAAGCCCTTCCTCTGCAGAGCTAGCCTTCCCACTGGCCACCAATTTATAACACCTGCCCAGCCCCTCCAGCTATTTGAATTAATAACCCCTGCTACAGCTCACAGGGTCGGGGGTGGAATCGTTGGTTGGTTGCTCCTTTATTTTATTTCAAGAATCTGCCCTTTTGAATGAGTGAATTTATTCAAGATTAGCGCTGAGACATCTTTCTGGATCACATACTTTTGATTAGCTTATTAAAGTAATACGCTCATCTATGTAGTACAGACATATAATACAGCAAAAGTCCCCTGCCATTCCCTTTCAGAAATGTATATCTATACCTTCCACTAGACTTCTAAGACAGCTGGGATTTTTGCCCGTTATGCCCGGCATCTAAAACCACACTTGGCACAAAGGAAGTGATTAATAAGTAATTAGTAAAAATATGAATATTTGGTCTAGAACCTGGAATTGGGCCATGAAGAACGAGTAGGAGTTTACCAGCTGTAGGAAGGGCATTCTCAGCAGAGGGAACAGGAGATGCAAAAGCCCAGAGGGATGCCAGAGAGCATAGGGATGAAAGCAGGTCGGAGTGGCTGAGGAGAGGTGGGTGAGAGTATAGCTGAGGCCAGAACTTGAAGAGCCTTCTATTTCCAGCTAAGGAATGTGGCCTTTTTCCAGAAAGCAATGGGATGGTTTTAAGCATGGGAGTGGCCAACATGGGTTTCTCTGGCTATGATGAGGAGAATAAACTAGACGGGAGCTACCTTCCCCAGGTGGGAAGACAGAATAGAAGGTCATTATGACCAGATGAGAGATAGCAAGGCCTGATCCAGGGAAGTCTACAGAAGGAAGGGGGATTGGATCTCCCACACAAAGACTAGAAATCAGTAATTGATCCCCTGTGGGAGCCAGGGAGAGAAAGAGAAGTTGAAAACAGAGTTCTGAGAGCTGCAGGGAAGAAATCTTGATAAGAACTAAGAGATGGGAAGTCCTAGGGTTGGCTGGGGTCCCTGGGGTAAAGATGTGGTCAGAGCTGAAATTGGCATCTGTAGTGGAGAAGTGAGGAGAGGAGAGGATGACCTTGGCAGGGGCCAGAGCCTGTAATGGGGCCTTTTTGGGAAGAAAGATGAACTGTTGGCACCAGGCCTAGTAGCAGCCCAGGTGCAGCTCCCAGCACCCAAGCACACATATTCACAACTTAGCAGTATCTAACTTGATCTGTGACCTTGGGCAACTCCCTGCTCTCTGAGTCTCAGCTTCCCAATCCGTAAAATGGAAATAATGAGCGCCACTCACAAAAAGGGTATAAGGATCAAATGAAGTCATATGGGGAAAAGACCCTGTAAATGGTGAAACCCTCCATGAAACCGAGGCCCAGAATCAGGGCACAGCAGATAGATGGGCAGTTCCCACTGACATCACACACCCCATAAACCACCCCCAAGCACATTGCCATTGTCATGCACCTTATTAAGACAATGCTCCAGGCCCAGAAGCAGCCCCCAATACACATACCAAGTCTGACTGAATCCCTCTATCTGGGGAGCCTGGAGCAAGGTGTCTGGGAAGGGATAAGTCAGGCCAGGTGAAGAGGGGAACACTAGCTGCTATCACAAACAGACTTGAATGTGTACAACAGCTCAAAGATTATGCCTCACTCACGTAACAGTGCAAAACTAGTGTTCCTGGTTGATGGGTGGGTTCCCTTTGTGCCCTAATACAAAGACCCTGTCTCCTTCCTCCTATGGCCCCACAATCCCTTAATCTCCTTCATCCAGCCAGCTAAAGATGAACAAGACCATGTGGTGGGTACATATTACATAAAGATCTTGGTCCAGAAATAGCACCCATTATTTCATTCATATTTACTTGGTGGGACTAGTCACAAGGCCACACCTGACTGCAAGTGAGCCTGGGAAATTAAAGTTTAACCATGTACCCAGAGGAAGAGGACATGAACTTGTAGTGAAAAGTCAGCCAGTTATACCACCGAAAGGTTCAAGTCACAGCCCTAGAAGGGGACAGTAGGATAGAGGGTAGAAAACCGAAGAGGGGCCCAGACCAGAGTGGTGGGTGACTTGAGGGTGCTAAGCCCATACACAAGGTAAAATGCAAGCTCTTTTGGTGGGTGCATGTCTGTGTAAGACAGAGGCCAACTAAGGACTCTGGCTAAGGGCCCAGAGTTCAGCTGGCCTTGGGCCGGGGCTGGGAGGGCAGGGTGTCACTCTTCAGCTGATGGTGCTACACCAAGGTGGGATTTTTGTTTGAGTGAGAATGAACACATAGGCGTCACACATGGAAGCCACTGATGCACGTGTCACCGGGAGGGCTGAGGACTTGCATGTCTATGGGCAGTTGTGCCTGCCACATGCCCCTGTCCAGGGCACTAGATATACATATACAGGGGTTTCTTTTTTATTTTTATAAAGGGGTTTTTAATGAAGGGCGAGCCTCTGTGTTTATGACACACATGCCTGAATGGTCTGTGTGTACATGACCGTGCACGCAAGGTGTCCATCTGTCTGTACACTTGGGCACATACCTGGGTGGTGCCTGGGGGTAGAGGTAGTCACTCCGCATGAGCACAAGTGCCTGGGGGGACACTGGGTGTGCCCATGCACAGCACACACACAGCAGGTGGGAGCTAAGTATATGTTGAGTAAAGTACATGTGTGCATACTCAGTGCGCATGTTCACATGGTGACGTGAGCCCCCACCAGGGTGCAAAAAGGTGACTAAGTGTGTGAGCACACACTTCTGTGTGCCCGGACTTGAACTTGGAGCTCCCTGGACTGGGCCAGACCAGGCCGAGCTCCTTCCTAGGCGCACAGAGGTCTCTGTGATGTACTGGTGACAGTGTGGGGCACTGCCAAGGGTGCACTGGTGGCATGTGTGTGTGCCTGTGAATGTGCGTGTGTGCGTGCGTGCGTGTGTGTGTGTGTGTGTGTAGGAAGAGGCATTCGCTCTCTTAGACCTTGCTTCTTTCTGTGGTTCGGTTTCTATAGAGACACTTCCTGTGGCAGAGAAAAGAGGTAGTGAGCTGGTGTTTCAGGATGTGAGGGCCCGCAGGAGCGGAGCCGGGCTCTCTCTGTTGCCTGCCTGCCACCGTGCAAGCTCTGGCCGGGGCTGCCCACAGTCCCCATGGTGGGCTCTCCTCACAGCAGGGACCCGTGAAGAGCGGCGGCATGCCAGGGAAGCCCAAGCACCTGGGTGTCCCCAACGGGCGCATGGTGAGTGTGGGCTCCAGGCCAGGCCCATGGGGAAGGGTTGGGCACACCCAGGGTGGAGCCCAGGAGGCACACCAGGCAGGACTGGGCAAGAGCCTGCATGCTGCTCACGGGCGGGAGAAGTTGGATAAAAACAGGAGCAGGCAATGGGACCTGGGACTCTCATCCTAGGACCTTCTAGAGGGCCCTGCTGGGGATCTGGGGCAACCTTGGAGAGGAGAGCAGAGTACAGTGGGTATAGGCTTCTGGTCCCCACTGCTCCCTCTCCGGACACTTTGGCCCCATCGGGGGCAGGGAGACCTGGCATGCCCTTTGACCCCTGCCTACCCCCATAAGGGCCCAGACCCCCACATCTGACTTAGCCTCATGTCCTGTCCCCTCACCCCATGTCCTGATGTCCAAGGTTAGGTAAGGGGAACCCTCGGTGGGTCACTGCCCTTTAGCTGGACCTGCTCCAGAGGCTTCCTACCAGAACAAGTAGTCTTCGGGCAGCCTGGGATGGCTCAGCCAGGCCGGGCCAGCTTGGTGCAGCTTGTCTTTTCTATCCTGGGCTACCAGGAAGGGTGGGAGTAGCTGGGTGCTCGGACGCCCTGGCTACTGCTGCTGCCCCGCCCCCTAAACCCTCTCCCTGGCTGCTTCACCTGTAAATCATAGCTGTGCTCGGACAGTCCAGCTTCTTTATGCATTCAGCTGATGGGGCAGACTGTGCTGGGCCTTTCTTCTCTCCCTGGGATACCAGCCCACTTGGCAGAGCCCCAGCCCCTCCTCGCAACCCCAGGAAGGCCAGCCAGTGTCTTAACCTCCAACCTAGCCCCAGCTTAGGACTATGGAACAAAACCAATGGATCTAGAAAGAACCGGGTTCCAGTCTTGGCTCCATTGTCCCTTACTAGGGGTCCTCTTTGACCCTCAGTTTCTTTACCTGTAAAACGAGGAAATTGGAGCAGTTCTCAAAGGCTTGTTGAGATGATTAAGTAGAATGATGAATATGAGGCCCTTGACCCACTGCGGGGGCTCCGTAAATGTCAGCCCGATGCTTTCTTTCCTGCTCAGCCCCTCTTCAAGGATCCCCTCCTTCATTCAGAAACTGAGGTTGTACTCACACTCCTACCTCCTAATTACCGAGACCCTACTCCACCTCTCCTTCTTCCATTATCTATTGCCCAGCCCCAGGCTAGTTAGGTGGGAAAGAAGCAAACCCCACCTACCTGGCCCAGTGCCCCACCTCACTGTCTTTACTATCAACCTAACTTTGAAAGGTCAAGAACCTAAGGTCCTTGCACTCCAGCCCCAGAAGCACCATACTCAGGTGTGCTGGCCAAGGAGGATCATGTCCACTCTCACGCCCACCCCAGAGGGCAGCTGGGTTGGTGCTTCTGAGCAGTGCCCAGAACTGGGAGGCGACTGAGGGTACCTGGAGACAGACCCAGCCTCTGCCCCTCCCATGTCAGCCCGTGGTTTCTCTACCCCAAAGTCCTTTAGAGAAGGGAGGGTGCCCAAGTTCTGCTCCCAGCCTTGGCAAGCTCACAGATTCCCTGATTCCCAGAAGCAAACTTCACACACAGGTTATCTTAGCTCTTCCTGGGTCTGTTCTGAACTCTCCATGTCACCTCTTGAAACCCTGAGGGTCACAGCTCAGCTGCTTGTGGGTCATCGGTCAGCTTTCTGAAACCATGCTCAGCTGACATGGGGAGGGGCAGACAGGCAGGGGTGCACACAGGGGCAGCACACAGAGGCACCCCTGGAGCTGGTGGCGGGCTCCTTCTATGGGTTACCCCCAGAGGGAGGCTCAGAGGAGCAGACATGCTGAAGGCAGCCAGCAAGTAGAAGGGCCTGTATCTGAGCTCGGCCTCTCTGACTCAATGCCATTGCTCCCCCACCTCCCAGAACTGCCTGGCTCCGTCCTCCCCCACCTCCCCCTGCCACCACCCCCACCCACGGCTGCCATCATTCCCTGCTGAGGCAGCTTCATTTGTCAGCCTCGTCTTTCTTCCACTCAGCTTGTCAGGCAGTTGCAATGAAACCTGTCACTTAGAGAGGCTCCCAGCCCCCTCCCAGGGACATCTCCACCCAAACCCTGCTGCCACTTCATTTGTTCATGCGGTCATTCAGTCAACAGCTCCTGTGTGGGTCTGCTCTGTCCTGGCCCTGTCCCAGGCACTGGAGACCCAAACCCATTGCCCTGGCCCCTCTCCTCAAGCAGCTCCCAGTCTGGCAAGGCACAAAAGGCACGGAGACAAATATCAGAATACTATTCAGATTTGGGTAAGAGCCACGAGCCCGGGGTAGAGAAAGCTTGAGGGTGACCTGGGAAGGGAGACCTGACTTGTCGGAACATTTTGTGCATTGTGGGATGAAGTTCTTGAAAGGCTACACCATATGGAAGAGAGGATGGCATGGGGAAGGGTCTGGATGCAGGGAGACACAGGGTGTGTGTGGAGGGACGTGGCCTGAGGGGAAGCTGGGCCTCAAGCCTGGAGAAAGGTGGTTATCATATCCTGCCACTCTCAGGCAGGAGAGACCCACCTGGAGAGACCCACAAGGCAGAGCCTCCTGGAGCTCTGCCTGCTTTCTTGGCATCCAGCTCGGGGCTTGGGGTCAGCTCCTCAGGGTTGGCTCAGGCTGAAGGGGTTCTCTGCGCATATACCCAGAGAGGATCTGGGGACCTCAGTTTCCCCAAACTAGGGTGAAATGAGATGATGGTACAGGGTGTCCAGCACAGAAGATGCTAAGTCAATTGGCCCTCCCTTTGAGGCCTGACCTCTTCAGAGGCCAGAGTTCAAGAGGACCCCCTGGGCCCTTTAGCCCTCATTGACTTTGCTCACCTGTGTCTGAAGAGCTGAGGCCCTGGGCCTCCCAGCTCCCCTTGTACATCTCCTGTCGGCCCAGGGAGGCAGCTTAGTGGAGGGAAAGATCTCAGGCTCCAGCTGAGCACACCTGGCTTTTAACTTCAGCTCAGCCACTTCCCTACTGTGTGACTTCTTTGGGTCTAAGTTTTCTCATCTGTAAAGTGGGGCTAATAACACCTGCCACACAGGATAAAGATCTGAGGAGAGAGCAAGAACAAGGGTGTATACTGTCAGAGAGAGCCTGTCACTCACCTGGAGCTCAGCAGTGCTGGACCACCCCACTCTCGTCTTGGTATCCTTGGACACCAGTGACCCTTCCAGGGCCTAAGAAGAAAGTATGGCACACTGAGGCCTGACCATGGTCAGGGGAGTCACCTTCCACCACACCCTTCCTCATCCTTTCTTCCCCTTTTCTCCCATTCACTCACCACTTCTCCTCAAGCAAGCCCGGGTGGTGCAAGGCCGGCCCTGCTCAGCATAACTTCCCCAGGCCTGGGAGACTGGGCAGGCGGGAACCCTGGGCAGAGGCGTCAGCATGAGGTCAGCTGTGACGGCATGAGGTCATCGGAGCCCCTGACGGCTGCGTGCTTGCCGCATGCCCACTCACTCTTCCTCACAGTCCCAAGAAATTGGGAATGCTGAGCCCTGTTCTACCCAGGGGGGAAACTGAGGCCCAGGAGAGGAAGTTACTTGCCCTCGAATGGTGGAACTGAAATTGGACTCAATCCTCACTCCCTCCCACGTCCGGATCTCTGTCCCTACCCCACCTCGGCCCCAACTCTATGGATCAACAACCAGGGGGGCCAGAGGGACAGGCAGAGGTGAACTGCAGGCCACAGAGATGGGGCGTTCAGCGGATCCCTGGTAAAGAGGGTGCCAGGACCTCATGGGAGGGCAGGGACCCTGATGGCTGCACATTAACACCAGAGCCAGGAGGGTGCTTCATGGTAGGGAGTGCAGGTTGGGTCCCTGTACAAACCAGGGTTACCCTCAGGGAGCTACAAAACTAGGAGGACAGAGAGGCCTAGACATGGGTGGGCACAAGTGTGGTGGGCAGGAGGGTTCAGGGCAACTGGTCTTTGGAGGGGACTGAGGTCAATGAGTGGAGATTGGAGAGCAATAAGTTCAGTGAGGGGAGTGGGAGCAGATACCCTGCAAGAAAAAGCAGCAAAAGCAGGAAACAGGAATGTGAAGGGGTGTGGGGAACCTAGAAAAGTTTGATAAAATGTAGGGTGGAGTAAGGGGGAGGGAAATGGGGGGGGCCTGATGGGATTCATCATCAGGCCCAGGCTGAGCTTCAGCTGTGACCCAGCAACAGCTCCACCCCCCAGGGCAGGGAGCTCGGCCGCCCCCACGACCTGGGAGCCAGCCTAAAGACACGGACAGTCAAGTCAACATAATGTCAAGAATGAAAGAAAACAGGAGTGTGGGCTGGCTTGGGCTGCAAGCTCCTGTGCCCTGCCCGTGGCTCCAGGCTTGCCCCAGCAGCCATGGGGACTCTGAGCTAAGGAGAGGCTGAGGGCAGGGATACAGGGCAGGTGGGAGAGAGGCCAGTGTGGGGTGGGGAGCAGAGGACCAGGTGGCCACCATGGAGGGGGAGGCAGGATGGTTCCCAGAGCCTGGGGCAGAGGATGGTGTCAGCAGCCCTAAGGTTAGCAAAGATGCAGAGCAGGCAAGATAGGCAGGTGTGGCAGGAGCAGAGCTGCCAGGAACAGAAGGAGCAGGCTGGAAGGGACCCTGAGCTTCAATTCTCGTGCACCCCAGGAGTTGGGACTTTCTCTGGCAGCCAGCCACTGGAGCTGACTCGGAAGAAGGAAAGAAGCCATCAGATGGGGGGATGCAGAGCCAGGGGGGCAAGGGTGCCAGTGGTGGGAGTGGGGCACCTGCGGGTAGGCTCCATGCCCAGCCACATTCTGTGAGAACTTTCTTTCCTCTTCAGCAAACTCTTACCTCCACACTCCCAGTGGGAGATGAGGCTCAAGGAAGAGCCAGAGGGTATGAAATGGAAAAGGGCAGAGCTGGGATTTGTCTCTGGGTCTGGCAGACCCCAACACCTGTGTTCTTTCCTCTACAACAGAGCTAGCAAACTCGAAAGTGGAGCAGGGTCAGACACCGATACTAATGCAGCAACAGCAATGAGAGTGACCTTCACGCCGGATCATGCCGGATCATGTTCTGGGTTCCTTATCTATATATTTAACTTATTTAGTCACAGCAGCCCTTTGAAGTCAGGGGAAGCATTTGCCCTATTTCTATAGAGAAAGAAATTGAGGCACAGAGAGGTGTAGTGCCTTGTCCAAGATCACACAGCACAAATGGGGACTCAGGCAGTCTGGGACAGCACCTGTTTCCATAAGTAACATAAATGCATAAAACTGGCCCCAGAGACCTCTAAAGAGAACGTGAGCCCCTTCCAGGTAAGCTAGTTGCTGCTCAGGGCCAGCCAAGGTTGTCATGCTGGGAAGAAGCTCCGGCTAGCTGAGGCATCACAGGAGTTTAAGTGAAACTCCTGGTTTTTAAATGTGGGAAACACCTTTAAACTTACAATGAAAAAAAAAAAAAAGTCTTGGGCCTCCTGGGTGGCTCAATCAGGTAAGTCCACTTAAAAAAAAATGAGGCCCAAGATATTAATAATGTCCTACATATTTCCAGGCCAGCTCTGGCCCACAGATGTGGGACCTGAGGTTCCTAGGGGAGCGTGGGGAACAAGGAGGGAGATTCTAGCTAGGAGGGCTGGGAGACATGTTTGCAGACCTGTTTCCAGCGGGGATGTAACAAAGGGACAGATGGGAGGAACCACCATGACAGGCTTAGTGAGAATATAGGATCCGAGAGAGGGGAAGGAATTGGGGATGACTGAACCCAGGTAGTGGGATGAAAGACAGGAAGGATGTAGGGAAACTGTTCCATGTCCTGCTTTGGTGGTGGCAGCGGTGGCTCCCTTTGGGACTGGCTGAGTTGGAAGGGCTTGTGGGACATCTGGGCAGAGATGGTAGCAGGAAGTTGGCTATGTGGATTTGAAATTGGAGAGATGTGGGAGGGGGAAAGGGCCCAGGACAGAGTCAGGGAGGGGTAGAGGCCACCTTGCGTGGGTAGGAGATGAAGAGGAAGCTGGAGGAGCTGCTAGGAAGGTAGGAAGACCAAGGGAAACCACTGCAAGAGTCATTTTGAAAAGAGGGTTTTTTTCTATTTCACTAATGGTTGGGATTCCCAGAGAAGTCGGAGCTGTGCGTGGGGGAGGGGGAGGATGGAGTTGATCTCTACAGCAATGCTATTCACAGTGGTCTATGGACCAGCGCATCAGCATTGCCTGAGAGCCTGTTAGAGATGGAGAGTCTCCGGACCCATCTGGACCTATTGAGTCTGAATCTCTGGAACTGGGCTCCTACCACTCATTTCAATGAACACGAGAGTCTGAGAATGACTGTTCTCAACTATAAAATAGCATCCTGGCACCAGCCTAAGGTTGGGGGGGGCAGGGCAGGTTCTCTCGGTCTCTCCCTCTCCAAGAGGACACAGTTGCAACAAAGAGATCACTGGCTATAGAGACACCAGCAAACACTGATACAGCACTTACCACATGCTGGCCACTGTTTCAGCTGCTAGAAATGTCTTAAACTGATCTGATCCTCACAATAGTCCGAGGAAGTAAGTTACTGTTATTATAATTATCCCCTATTTGCAGAGGAAGACAAACAAATAACGAGTCACACAGCTAGTAAATGGCAGAGACAAGATCCAGAGTCTCTGCTGATAGCACCATGCTGCACACCTGGGCTTAGCCAGCAGGTGCTTCGGGAGGAGGGAACCAGGGGCAAATGGAAAGTAAGCTGGCATACTTCCCAGCCCACAGTGGTCGGCACATGATGGAAGGGGAGCCAGGAAGAACCTGAGCAAAGTGCAGAGTAAGCAGTGACCAGGCTGGGAATGCCCAGCATGGTCCTCCAAGGAGAGGAGAACACAGCTCCAGTCCTGGGGCCTGAACCCAAAACTGTCCCTTGAGTCCACCCTGAGCTGTGCTCTAACTGCCTACCTTGGGTCTCTTGTAGGTTCTGGCTGTCTCAGATGGAGGTAAGTGACAGAGGGTATAGAGGAGGCTTGCCTGGGGTGGGGGAGGGTATGTGGAAACAGGGTGGGGACACCCCTGTCACCTGCTATCTTTCCAGGGAAAATATCTGCAGATGGGGTTGGGTCAGGGGCTGGGAAAGGCCACAGGGTTCACCACCACTTGTCCATCCACCTACAGAGCTGAGCAGCACGGCGGGGCCTCAGGGCCAGGGCGAGGGCCGAGGAAGCTCCCTCAGTATCCACAGCCTCCCTAGTGGCCCCAGCAGCCCCTTCCCCACCGAGGAGCAGCCTGTGGCCAGCTGGGGCCTGTCCTTCGAGCGGCTGCTGCAGGACCCGCTGGGGCTGGCTTATTTCACTGTAAGCCTTGGGGTGGGATTGGGAGGGCAGATGGCAGTGGTCACTATAGTGTGTGGGGGGAGGGGGTTGGGCAGCGGGCATGGGAGAGGACATGGATGGAGCTTCAGAGCGGGATTCCTCTGTCAGCTGCCTCCTTGAGCCTTTCTTTGGCATCTTCTTCCTGTTCTCTCAGCAGGGAACTTTCCTTGTCTGCCTCTCATTTTCTCTCTGTGCTTTCCAGCCTGGCCTCATCTGTCTGCCTGACCCTACCTGCCTGACTTGGCCTCTTGGCCCTACCTCTATCCCAGGCTCTTTGACTGCACCCCCTGGCCGGGTCTCTGTGTCCCTAACTTCCTTCTCCTTCTCTGTGCTAGGAGTTCCTGAAAAAGGAGTTCAGCGCTGAGAATGTAACTTTCTGGAAGGCCTGCGAGCGCTTCCAGCAGATCCCAGCCAGCGACACCCAGCAGGTGGGGGAAAGGGGGGATGGAACAGAGTGGTGGGACCAGAGCCTGGGCCATGTCCCTGAACTTCTCTGTCCCTCCTGCAACAGCTTGCTCAGGAAGCCCGCCATATCTACCAGGAATTCCTGTCCAGCCAGGCGCTGAGCCCAGTGAACATAGACCGGCAGGCCTGGCTAGGCGAGGAGGTGCTGGCAGAACCCCGACCGGATATGTTCCGCGCGCAGCAGCTCCAGGTGAGCTGTTCATGGGTCTCTTGGGATTAGGGGGTGTGGCCTTGGAAGAAAGTGCAAGAGGCGGAGCCAGATCCAGGGGCGGGGGCCGATTGTAGCGGGTGGGATGTGGGTGGAGTGGGGTACGGAAAAGGGCAAATTATGATGCCAGCGCCAAAGTAAAATACAGTGTCAGGTCGTGGGTCAGAGGGCGGTACCAGAGGCTGCAGCGAACAGGGGCTAGAGGCGGAGCATAGCTGAGGTCGAGGCGGAGCCAAGGGGGCGGGGCTGGACCAAGGAGTTGGGTGGGAGGGGCTAGGGTCTTGCCAGCTAGGTTGGGGATCCAGCCAGCCCTGAGGGCAGAGTCAGGTAAGCTGATGGCGAGCCGAGCGCCCTCTCCGGCTCCCCGCCCCGGCGCGGGTCCCGCAGATCTTCAACCTGATGAAGTTTGACAGCTACGCGCGCTTCGTCAAGTCCCCGCTATACCGCGAGTGTCTCCTGGCGGAGGCCGAGGGACGCCCCCTGCGGGAACCTGGCTCCTCCAGCCCGGGCAGCCCTGACTCCACGAGGAAGGTGCGGACGGGAGGCTGTGGGCAGCAGGGGGCCGGGTGCCGATCTGTAGGGGTGTGCCCCTAGTCTGCACGCGGGCTGGAACCCAGCCCGGTGCCAGCGCCTTTCCTGTACCCGCAGAAGCCGAAGCTGAAGCCCGGGAAGTCGCTGCCGCTGGGCGTGGAGGAGTTGGGGCACCTGCCGGCTACTGAGGGCTCTGGGGGCCGCCCCCTCCGCAAGTCTTTCCGCAGGGGTGAGGGTTGGAGGCCCCAGAGAAAAGTCGGGGTGGGAGTTTGGGCAAGCTTTGAGAATCCCCACTTCCTCCTACTTGTCTCAGTCTGTAAATCTGTGAAAACCGAAATAGAGGTCTCAATGACCACCATGTTTCCCCGCTGATTTGGTTTCTAGATTAGAGCAGAAGTTTGGGAAGCCCCCTCAGTAGCAACACTTCCATGGTCCCAAGACGCGTTAGACCCCTGCAGGAGGGCTCCAGCGGGGTCCCCCTGGTTGTGGAGAAGGGGGTGTAGGGAGCAGGGGCTGTTTCGCTCACTGCTCCCTCTCCCCTAGAACTGGCAGGCGGAGCCCCAAACTCGGCCTTACGCAGAGAGTCCCAGGGCTCCCTCAACTCCTCTGCCAGTCTGGACCTTGGTTTCCTTGCCTTTGTCAACAGCAAATCTGAGGTGAGCGGACTTCTGGGGGAGATGAGGCCTGGGCTAAAACTGCTACTCATGCACCTTTGGGGGGCCGCCATCACTCACAGTCACAGTCCTCGTCCCCAATTCCATCTCCTGCTGCTAACCCCTCATACTCCTTACTTTCTTCCTGTCCTCACTGCCTTGGGCCCCTGCGTGCCATGGGTGTACATTCTCCTCGTGTGTGTGCACGTGTGGGTGCCCAGGTGTCCCCAGCAGGTGTATGTGGGTCAGTGGGAGGACCTGTCTCTAGGTGCCACTACATCTGGGTGAGCATATCTATGTTGTTGTAGGCGGAGTGCCTTTGCCTGCCTAGAAGTATGCCCTTAGGCCTGTGCATGCGTGTGTGTGCCCCAGTGACCTTACCTGTCTGTGTACCTCCCTGCATGTCCCTGAATGTGTATACATGACCTTCCCTCTGCTTCTGCCCGGAAGCAGAGCCACCGGAAGAGCCTTGGGAGCACAGAAGGTGAGAGTGAGAGCCGGCCAGGGAAGTACTGCTGCGTGTACCTGCCTGATGGCACAGCATCCTTGGCCCTGGCACGACCTGGCCTCACCATCCGTGCCATGCTGGCGGGCATCTGTGAGAAACGAGGCCTCTCTCTACCTGACATCAAGGTCTACCTGGTCGGCAATGAGCAGGTGTGAATCTGGTCTGGTCCCCAGCTCTCTCTCTCCTCCTGATCCTGACCCCAACCCCATTCCTATCTCTGTTCAGCTAGGACCTCAACCCCAGTTCCATTCCTATCCTCACCCCCTTCCTAATACCAGTCCCCAAAACAACCCTGCCCCTCCCCCTATGCCCAACTCCAAAGCAGCCTAGCACCAACTCCTCAAACTCGGGCCTCCACCCCACCCCATGAGAGTCCCATCCTTACTCCCCTCCCAGCTTCCAGCTTCATCATCTTCACTGCGGGGAGAAGCATGGCCAGAACTGGGTTTCCCCCCATGACTCCCAGAGTTCCTACTGGCCATCCTTGAAATGGCCATTAGGGGCACTCGAATGCACTGAGCCCATGAAAAACTTTTCTTGAGCTGCAAATGAGCGTTAAGTTTTAAAGAGGAGTCTAAGGAAAAACTCACTTTGGATTAAACCATCCCATAAGGGGGATCTAAAGAAAGAATGCTGCCTTCCAGAGAGACCCTGCAGGATTTCCTTCACCCAGGCAGGACCTAAGGCCCTACCAGGTGGGTAGGCAGAGGGACCCGGGCCTGAGCTCTGTCCTCCAGGTCCACAGGATGGAGGTGAGCCTGGCAGGATGTGATCAGGAAAGAGAAGCTGAAGCTTCAGAGAATTTCTGGGGAAAGGCAGGCTTTTCTGGGTGCTGCCAGGAAGGCTTCATGGAAGAGGCAGCTGTTGATGAGGGGAGAATGAGGACGGGGAGAAGTTTGCCGGTGGAGCTGTCAGGAGAGGATATTCTAGGCAGATAGAGCAGCTTAAGTGAAGTCCTGGATGTGGGTAAGAAGTGCAGGGCAAGTTCCAGGGCCTGGAGAGTGGGACTGGGAGGGCAGCCGTGGGAGGAGCTCTGCCCACTCAGGCCACCCGAGCAGCCTCTGAAGCCCAGATGGGCATTCACGACTGCTAAATATAACTCCCCACCCACACTCCGCCTGTCCCTGCAGCATAGCAGGGACCTATCCCTGGAAGAGGCTCCCTCCGTGCCCTGGGCTAGTGCAGACAGTGGGGACTAGAGGGGCAGTAGTCACAACACCTACTGTTTATGTACCTACTATGTGCCCAGCACTGTGCAGACACTACGTTCTTCTGGCCTCACCGCAGTCTTGGGGGAAGAGGGCTTGTTGCAGTGAGGAGACAGGAAGTGTCTTTGGTAGGTGGGGATGAAGAGAAGTAGACAAATGTCAAAAAGGGGACAAGGCCTGGGTAGCTGATCAAAGTTGGGTGGTGAGGAAGGAAATGCATCCAGCTGGTCTGGCTGGGTTTCACATGCCTGAGAGACAAGGGGGCAGCTGTCCAGGAGGCAGAGCCTGGCCTGGCCTGGCCTGGGAAGAGGCGGCCCCATGATCCAGGACCTAGGCCTGCTCCTTACCCAAGCAGCCTCATTGCCATTCTGTGCTTACCCCACTTCCATGCTTCCTGTAACTCCACTTCGTTTCCGAAGCTGTCCAACCTTCTTGTCCCCTTCTCCCTGGCCTTGGCCGTATTAGGATCCCAATCTGGCCAGGTGGTTTACTCCATCTACATCTCTACACCTCACCAGCCCATTGGCCCTTGCCTCTGACCCTCAGGGGACCCCAGTGGGCGCCATGGGAGGAAGTGAGGTGGTTCCCTCGGACCCTGGGGATGGTTGGGGCTGGGGAGAGAGGGACTCTGAGACCTCCCTCCGGCATCTGCAGAAGGCCCTGGTCCTGGACCAGGACTGCGCGGTGCTGGCGGACCAGGAAGTGCGTCTGGAGAACAGGATCACCTTTGAGTGAGTGCCCCTCCTCCCAGGCTTGGGGCCTGGGTCCCAACCCTTGTTTGGGTCCCAGTTCAGGTTCTCCCTCTCCTGTCCTAGCGCCTCAGGCTAACTGTGTCACCGGAACTAAGGGCCCACCCCCAACTAATCCCAACCCCCAGTTCAGGCTCCGCCCCCTCTTAGACCTGTCCCTGGTGGTTTGGGGGGAGAGGCGGTGCCCGCTCTCCGCCCTGCCGCAGCGCGAGGGTCCCGTGCAGGGTCGAGTTGGTGGCTCTGGAGCGCGTGGTGCGGGTCTCCGCCAAGCCCACCAAGCGGCTGCAGGAGGCGCTGCAGCCCATTCTGGCGAAGCACGGCCTGAGCCCGCAACAGGTGGCGGTGTGCCTGGTGAGCCGGGGGACAGCGGGGCGGGTCAGGGGCGGCCAGGAGCGGGCTGCCTGGCTTGCGGGCTGCTGACCTGTCCCCACAGCCAGGTGAGAAGCAGCCGCTGGATCTGGGGAAGCTCGTGAGCTCGGTGGCGGCCCAGAGACTGGTTTTGGACACTCACCCAGGTAGAGAAGCAAGGCTCTGGGGCTTGGTCCCTGGAGATGGCTTGGGCCCAGAAGGAAAGGGGGCCGGGTGGGAGGCAAACACTAACAGTGGTGCTCTCTGTCATAGGTGTGAAGATTTCCGGAGCTGGAGACGTAGCCCAGCGCTGCAGCCAGGTGAGAGAGGGAAAGGGCTCCCCCCTCTACCCACCGTGCCTCCCCTCCCAGTTGTGGCTCTGACTCCACGTTCTTACAGGGTGGCCAGCCTAGAGCCCAGAACAAGGCCACCCATCCCCCTCCACTGTCCCTCAACTCGCTGGCTGAGGCGCCCAGTAGTATCCCTGGGAAGCGGCAGACCTGTGACATTGAAGGTACTTTGGGGATGGTGGGAGCTAGGGACTAGAAGCACTGGGGACCATCGAAGGTGGGTGGTATCTGAGAGGCTTAAACTGAGGCAGGGCCCTGCATGTCTTTGGGGCTGGAAGAGTGTCCACTGGGGCTAGGGGAACAGAGTGGCTGAAGGATGGGTGGGGGTTGGGGAGGCTGTGGTCATAGGAAGGGCAGCGGGATGGTGGTGGGCTAGCATAGGCAGGTCTGCACCAATGGGCCTCTTGACTCTATGCGCCGCCGCCCTCCGCCCCAGGCTTGGTGGAGCTGCTGAATCGAGTGCAGAGCAGTGGGGCCCATGACCAGAGGGGCCTTCTGCGCAAAGAGGACCTGGTGCTTCCAGAATTTCTGCAGCTGCCAACCCAAGGGCCCCATTCCCAGGAGGCCCCACCACAGACTGTATCAGAGGTCCAGCCCAAGGGGGACCCCTCGGACTCCACAGCCCACGCGGCCCTCTGACACCCGCCCAGCAGTCCAGGTCAGCTGCACGGCACCTGGCGGGCCAAGCATGCTGTGGGCCCGCTCTGCATGCTCTGTCTGTGCCATGAGTGTCCTTGGCCCCTTCCTGCCACGGGCAGGCCCGCAGGAAGAGCTGGAAGGCAGTGGAGAGCGGGCTCAGAGGAGCCACACCCCACAGCTGCCACCACTCGGTCCCTCATCGCTTCACTCCCTCAACCCTTGCTGCCAGGCCACTGAGGGGAGGTGGGGCTAGCCTCCCCAGTACAGGCAGGCCCAGCACAGAGGGGCAGCGTTGGAGTGCGAGCCTCCCCACCCAGGGCAGAGCCTCAGTAGGGAGCAGGACGAAGGGCTGGCCCCTCGGCAGGGACCTGGTATGAATAAGTCCTGGGGGTGCAGGTGGGCAGCTCCTCACTACTCACACAGGCGCTGCTGTACGTACAGATTTTGAAGTTGGCCTGGGGCAGCTGGGTTTGTCCTGGATGTATGATATTGTTATTATAATAGTAATTATTATTCTCCCATGAAGTGTGTTCCTTGTGTGCCTGTCTACCCTGGGTACCCCCCCCCCCGAAACTGCACTGCCTCTGTCACCAAGGTTAGTGCCAGGAAGCCCTTGGGGACCTTAGGATGTGCCCCCTGACTTCCTGTTGTCAGAACTTCTCTTCCTGACTGCACAGAGTATTGAGGTGTGAATATGAGAGATAAGACAGAGACAGGAGGGACGGAGGAAGGGGAAGGAGGGGAAGACCCTTCGGGGGAGCCGTGCCTGTGCCCCCTGTCACCATGCTGTTCCTCAGTCTCTGGATCTGAGCAGAGTACAGCATCTGGATGTCGTCCTCTGCTTCTAGTGGGGCTCGAGTGTCTGCAGACATGGCTGTGGGCTCCTTTGGACACATCTTAAGGGCCTTGTGGAAATACTGGTTGTTGCACTGGGGGCAGGTTTTGCTTCTTGTCTGCTTTGGCTGGGTGGTCATCCCTGTCTCTAGGCAGCCCACACATTGAGGGGGAGCAGGGAGGACCTCCCAGAAGGAGGGCCCAGTGTATGGGCAGAGAAGCCAGACTCAGGCCTGGTGCTGCTGAGCTAGAGGAAACCAGGGGACATGAGGACCTCGAGGGGACACCTGAGGAGTGAGGGGCCCTCCTGACCCTGAGGTGGTCAAGATCTCTTCCCCACTCCAGTTCTTTGTGCTTGCTGTCCCCTCTGCCAGGAATTGGCGCCCTCCATCATAGCACCTCTTCCTTGAAATTCCTGAGACAGATCAGTTGGGTTTGCTGGCCCATCATGCCTTTCTCCAGAAGTTGAACCCAAGCTTTTCTTGGGGGCCTTCAGCCTTTTGCTCCCTCTACCCATTTTGCTTGGCTGGGTTGACCAGAACCCTTAGCTGCTGGGGGTGGAGGTGGGCTCATGACGCAGGCCTGGCCAATCAGAGTTTGGTGCAGGGACAATTCTCTGACCTCAGTCATGGTCATCTACCATCTCCCGGGGCTTTGAGTAGATTATGCAGGGAGAGAACCTGCATGTCAGTGAAGCCAACACAGGACAGCGGGACTGAGAGATAGAAGGAGATTCCTGACCAAAGCTACCTGAACACCTAAATTCACCCAGGCTTGAAGTCACCCACCCTAGATATCCTCGTTTAGGAAAGGCAACACATTCTTTTTGCGTGCATGTGCCTGTGGCTCTGAGTAGGTTTTCTAGGACCAGCAACCGCAAAAGTCCTACTTCATCATTCAGCCTGAACACCTCAGCGGAGCCTTCCCCAGTCACAGATGCTGTGGTCTAAATGCTTGTGTCCACCAGCACCCCCCAAATCCACATGTTGAAATCCTAGTCCCAAGGTGATGGTATTAGGAGGTGGAGACTTTGGGATGTGCTTGGTCATGAGGGTGGAGCCCTCGTGAGTGAGGTTAGTGCCCTTATAAAATAGAATCTCCACCCCTTCTACCCTGTGAGGATGGAGCAAAAAGTTGGCTGTCTACAACCTGGAAGAGGGCTGTCACAGACACCAGATGTGCTGACACCCTGATCTTGGACTTCCAGCATCTAGAACTGTGAGAAATAAATTTTTGTTGTTTATACATCTCCTGGTCTCTGGTATTTTTGTTATAGCAGCCCAAATGGACGGATACCAGATATGACATTCTCCGTAACTTTGTTCTCTACCATGCTGTCCTGTTTCCTTCCTTCACAGTGCTCATCCCACTCTGTAGTGACCTTGTTTACTTTACACTTATTTGCTGACAACACGATAAACATGCCCTGATGGCAGTGACCTTGTCCATCGTAGTCAGTGCTGTATCCCTTTGGCCTAGTGGGAAATGATTCTGCAGCCTCAGATAGACCCAGTGAAGGACACAGGGACAGCAGGGCAGTGGGGGTCCTGGGCAGGGGACTGCATAGCACCAGGATCATAGTCTGTGGTCAGAAGAGGATGGAGAGACAAACCCCTGTCCCTTCCCCAATCAGCTGCAGAACCTCCTTATACTTCCTGCGCCCTGGGGGTTCTCCCTTGGGGGCAGAGACACTTTCCATGTGCGAACATAAAGAGGTGGAGACACCAGGTGAAAGATGGGACTTTCCCAAAGTTGGCAGATCCTGAGGCAAGCGCACCTTTCACCCACCAGTAGTAGCAGTGATGCCTACTACTCTAAAGGACCAAGAGATGCGACTGCCCCGTAACAGAGGAGGTCATGGGTCAGGTAAAAGGGCCTCTAGAGATGGGAGCTCCTGCAGGGGGAGGAAAATTCACATCAGCTCAGGCCCCCAAGTTAGGCATGTCCCATCCTTTATCTCATCTTTGTCCTCATGACAAAATAGCCTGATGGGGATGAAAGCAAGGCTACAGGAGGGGAAGTGACAAGTCCAGGATCCTGCAAGGAATGTGCTGCTGGACACAATCAGACAACACATAGGCTGTCTGACTCAGGAACACACAACAGGGAGCAGGGAGGAAACCCTGATGGGAAGCCAGCACCCTCTCGGGTGAGGATACATTGATATGGCTGCTCTGGGGAGCAACTTGGGAGTTTCTGCTGAAAATTAAAAACACACAGCATGTGATCCCAGAAGTACCACCAGAGAATCACTCACTCCGAGGCACAGGGAGCCCCATCCCTACTGGGCTGTGTATGACCCAAAAACTGGCAAACAGACAAATGTGGGTGGGGGTGGGGGCTGGGGGAGTGGGATAACAAAAAGGTGGTGGTATGTCTATGCCCTGCAATACCACACAGCAGATGAAGAATTAGGTAGAACATGTTTTGCTGTGGAAAGTTCTTCAAGATGTGTTATTGTTCGGTAAAAGAAAGTAGAGCAATGTGCATGACATGATAGCTTTATATAAACCACAAACACAGAGACACACTTATAAGGATACAGAAAGAACAGAGAATGTTCTAGAAGGGTACATGTCAAACAGACAGGAAAATAGAGAGGGGACCAGGACCGGGGATAGTACTCAAAGGACACTTTCACTTTAGCTTTAATGCTTTTTAAATGATGCAATTAAAATAATTATAATAACAAAGAACTTCTCAAGGCCACTTCTTTGTCCCTCTGACCCACCATCCCTTTCTCGAGAAGGATAATAAACTCTTTCAGCCCACCACCCACCTTGGCCCGCTTTAGCTGGCTGCTGTGTCCCTTGTCCTCAATTCCCCAACATGTACCCTGAAGCTGTCCTAGGCTGAGGGAGACCTAGTTCCCTCCTCCCAGCTCTGCACACTCAGAATCCCTCAAGGTCCTGGGCCCTCACTGCAGCGATGGGGGTCCAGGCCCACGGACAGAAGGCACCAGCTGGCCAACCCCCAGGCCCTTTTCAAAGCCACCGCACTGTACAGAGCTGGACTCCTGCGTGGTTGGGAAAAGTCATGGATCCTGCTTCCCCTCACCCCACCAGATGGGAAGCCTGGAGGGGAGTCAGCCTATCCACCAAGCACCCGGTGTGAAGGAGGGGAGAGGACACATATTTGCTGACAGCTCTGCAGTCCCCAGCACCCCCATCTTGCGGAGGACACAGGCGGAGAGAGTGGGTGGGACTGCCATGAGAACGGCCATAGGACCCAAGCCTCTGAGAAAGAAACCTGCTGCCTGTCTGGTCCCCTCACCCCTCTTGACAGTCATGGTGACAGTCAAGCAGATGGGATGGGGTGGCCACAGGGCAAGTGCAGAGCACACAGTGACCTTGGCTCTGGCGACCCCTCCAGGGTGGGGGCAGGCAGAGCCCCCAGCTGCTACCTGGTGCCTGGCAGGAAGTGCTGACACAGCCATGGACAGATGCTCCCTGGGGCAGCCATCCCTATCCCCAGGAGCGAGCACAAGGTGCACCCTGCAGGGGGCCTGGCCTGGTGGTCAGGTGACTCCAGTGTCTGGGGGATCAGACCCTGGCACTCAGCTTTCGCAGGGAAAGAAAAGCCGGATGAGGGGAACACACATGGTTGGTTATGTTGAATCAGATGCCACCTAGGCCAATTCACAAAAAACAGGGGGCACCATTCCTGTCCCTGGTGGTCGTGGCAGGTCCAAGAAAAGTTGAAACATGAATACATGTGTGTGTCCTGGGAGTCCTGCATCGACTAGGAAAGGGGTGCTCTGTGACTGTCTTAGCTCCTCTCTCCAGGAACTGGTCTGGGGGTTGAACAGAGGCAGAAAGCCAAAGAAGCAGCATCCCACTTCCAGGCCAGCCCAGGATGCTGGTGGCCAGAATGAAGTCTCAGCCAGCTAAGAGGGGTGGGCACCAATAACCCCACTAGCCAAGTAGGCCATCATCTTCCAGCCTTATTGTTGAGGGGCTGGAGGAACCCAGAAGCCAGACCCAAAACCTGGAGCATACAGTACGCCGCTGGAACTTAGAGCCTGCAGCCCAGACCAGAACCTGGAGGCAAGAGCCTGAAGTCTGAAACCTGGACTCTGGGGGCGTCTGGGTGGCTTGGTTTTTAAGCCTCTGCCTTCGGCTCAGGTCATGATCCCAGGGTCCTGGCATCGAGCCCTGCATCAGGTTCCCTGCTCAGCAAGGAGCCAGCTTCTCCCTCTCCCACTCCCCCCGTTTGTGTTCCCTCTCCCACTGTGTCTCTATCAAATAAATTAATTAAATCTTTAAAAAAATAATAAAAATAAAAACTGGATGCTGGAGGGGCACCTATCTGGCTCAGTTGGTGAAGGATGAGACTCTTGATCTCGGGGTTGTAAGTTTGAGCCCCATATGGAGTCTGGGATCTGGGATTGGAGGTTGCAGCCCAGAATCTAGAGCCCAATGCCTAGAAGCAGAGCCCTTACTCAGTTGGACATCGGAAGCCTGAAATTGGAAACAGGAACTGGAGCTCAGATCCTGGAGCCCGGAACCCAGAGTTGCCCCTGAGAATTTACAGTATGGGGCCTAGAGCACCAGACCCAGAACATGGGGCTCAGGACCTGAAGCCTACAGCCAGAGCTCAGAGCTTCTGGTCTGGAACCTGGAGCATGGGACTGCCATGCTCACCCTTAGGTCTGGTCCCCGAGGCCGGCATGAAGGCACAGAGCTGGAACCACACTAGGAAGGGAGCTGCAGGGGAAAAGATGATTTCTGAGAAAAGCCCAAAGCAAGCTCAGCTCTTTTGGCCACAGACTTTGGCCTCCTCCATCAATGAGTGACCAATGCCTGGGCTATAAGGATTAAACATTACTCAGGGCACTTATCCCCCAAACAAGGATGGGGCATCCTCAGGTCAGCAGCCCCTGCCCTGGATCCATGGATCTAACATAGCCTGCAGCACCCAATCTGGAAAACGGGGCTCGGAGGGGAGAACACCATAGGACCCTGCCTGCTCTGTGCCAGACAGCTCAGATGGAAGTCCAGATTCTCCAAGAGAGGACAAAGTCAAGGGGGCCAGGGGAGGAATGGCTCTGGTCCCTAAGGGGAGGTGGGAGGCGGCTCCTGTTATGTCACCCAGCCCATTGGTGAGAATGGCTGCTTCGGCCACAGATAAAGGACGCCCCCATGCGTGTACAATGCACACCCACATTGCGTCTGTGTACCGGGGTGGAATGTTCACGGCTGTGTCCACCACATGCTGACTCACCGTGGGGCTTATCTGTTGGTTGGAGAAATAAACACATTGTTTCAAGGAGACAGGAGAAGCCCTGTTGTGGGATGACACTGGTCATTAGTCAGTTCTCCCCCCAAAAATCCAGTTCATGGAGGGACTGTCTGGCATGTTAGTTTTTCTTCCCCTGATGGTCCTCCAACTTTAGGTCCTGCAGAAAACGTACAGGCGCAAACTGTGTGTATTTAAAGGAGCCGCTGGATCTTAGCCGAGGATTACAGAAACAGCTGGTTGTGCCAACTTCCCCAGCTCGCTCTGTTCCTGGCCCAAGCTCTCGTTCTTGGGATCGTTCTCTACTCAGCTCAGCAGTCCTGCTGCTCCCGCGGAAACAGTTTTCATTGGCGTGACCAGATTCCCGATCTGTCAGTCTGTCACACTCACGTTGGCCATGCTGTCTCGGCTCCCACCTCCTGCTCCTTCCCAACAAGCCCTCACAAACTGCCCCCACCCCCAGTACCGGCTCAGGACAGCTCGCCTGGGTCACTAAATCTGCTCTGTCCTCACATTCCCCGACAGCTCTGTGGCATCTGACCTGGCTGATCAGGTTGTCTCTCTCAAGACAGGGGTGAACTTGGCTTCTGCGACATCTGTTTTTCTGCTCTTCCCAATCCTGTCATACCTGTCGGCTTCCTCTCAGGAGTCCCTCTTTTTTTTTTTTTTTTTTTTTCTTTTTTTCTTTTTTGCTCTCCCCCAAACATGGGTGCTCCTCCGGGCTCAGCCCTGGGCCTTCTCTCTATTCAATGTGCACATTCTCCCTTGGGAGGGGGGAGGCATCTTCACAGGCT